TAGAAAATGAAGAAGCAGCCGGTCCATGAGTGAGGGAAGAGCCAGTTTGAGGGATGGAAGAGGGACGTTTGGCCTGACTTGAGGAAGATCCTATGTGAACATTGAAGCCAGGAGAGGTTTCCCGTTGGGCTGAACTCAAGAGTAGGGTCTGGAGCTTAGAGAATGAACTTTCGGTTACAGGGTGGGAGGGAAGGGATAGTTAGGGAGTTTGGGACTGACATGTACACACTGCTATATTTAAAAAGGATAACCAAGAAGGACCTACTGTACAGCACAGGGAACTCTGCTCAATATTATGTAACAACCTAAATGAGAAAAGAATTCGAAAAAGAATAGATACATGAATATGTATAACTGAATCACTTTTCTGTACACCTGACACTATCACAACATTGTTAATCAACTATATACTCCAATATAAAATAAAAAGTTAAAAAAAAAAAGACTAGGGTCTGGAGAAAGCAAGCAAAGGACTTCCTTCTCTGGTAGAAGGAACTCAGAGCAAGAACTCCAGTCCCTACTGAGATAAGGAAAAAGAAGGAGAGATGCCTGTGCTGGGAAGGGACTGAGTGGGGGAGGCATCAGTTGGGACAACAGCTAAGCGAGCTCAAACATCTACTTGTAATTTGTAGGAGCCAGAAGGGGGCTCCCATCCAGAGCAGCTTCACACAGGAGTGACGCTTCACGAGGACAGAGAGTCTTCTTCTTTGTAACTCCAGTCTCTGGAATTACTTAGCATCGAGTAAGTTATTCAATATGGCTGAACAAACATGGCCAGTGGGGAATGCTGCTGGACGCCTCACTATCGGGAAACCCATTTCCCCCAACTTTTCCAGACCGTTCTTAATTTCTGACTCATGGCCAACCAGTGAACACCGATTTTTAGTTCAGAAAATGTGCTTGCTCTAGAGATGGGAAGAGCTATAATCCATGAGATGGACCCACAGCATCTCAGGAGGTAACAATAGATGAGACATTGAAAAGAGCAGGAATCTCTTGCTCTCTGTGTGTGTGTGTGTGTGTGTGTGTGTGTGTGTGTGTGTGTGTGTGTGTGTGCATCCTCCAGGGTTCTCTCTCAGGACCCAGATATGTTTTTTTTTTTTTTTTAAGCTTTGTGCCATCTGACAGCGTTCAGTCTCTCCTCCAAGCTAATGCTCAAAGAAACTAAGGTGACCCTGTGTCACTAAATCATCACCAGCTGTGTCTTGCTTGAAAAAAATCTGTTATTAATATCAGAGCTGAATGTTATTTATTAACCAAACACTGCTTATTAATCATTTACTGGTATGTGGTGATGCTTAGAGTTAAGCCCCCAAAGACAACTCCCTGGCAGCTCAGAATTTATGGGTTTTTACAAAGTGAATAACAACGGAATGGGAGCAGTGCCACCAGGACACAGAGGAAGAGGGTGCAGGAGAACATAAACGTACAAGCCTTGGCCTAGTTCACTGTTCCATTTAAGCCTTTTAAAATGCTTAGACAAAACGGATGGCAGTAACCTTTGAGGAAAGGAAGCAGTTAATGTCAGAAGAGATCCAGACCTCTGAAAGTGAGGATGAAAACTAATTCTGCAGGATCAGGGAGTTAGTCCCTGTTGCCACCCTCGGCTGGATGCCAACAGCCTGAGGGAGCTTGGCTGGCAGAGTTTCTCCTCTCTCGTATCCCTGGACTCATCAGTGTCAGGGTCAAGCTCTCTGGAGGTGTCCTCTCTAAATGCTACAGAATGTGACGTCACCTGTGAACCCTTCTGCCAAAAGGTATTTGAGCAAAGCTGCAGGTCAACAAATCATCCTGCTGTCCCCTTCCCTCTTCTCTCCCCAGCCCCAGAGAGTGACAGTGGAGACCAAAGGCAGGGTCCCTGATGGCCTTATTTGAGGGAGAGGGACTGGAAGTGGCCACCTGCCGGAAAACTTCGTGGAAGGTACAGGCTACCTTGGTAGCAGTACTAGGAGATTGTCTCTCCAGAAATGTGGTCTGAGGTCACACAGGACTCAAGGACTCACCAGAGACAAAAAGGATCCTGGTTGAAATAGAAGGAGGAGCCCAGAGCTTTGGAACACATGCATGCGTGCATACGTGTATTCATACCACGTATGCGTGTGAATGTACATTTGTGGACAAGTGCTCACAATCACGGAACTGGCGCATCTCACCACACTCTTCTTGTGTTTTATTTCTCAAATTTCAGTTTTATTTCAGAAACAGTTGATCAGGGTAGGAAAAGAAAATCAGAAAACACAGAAAAGTTTAATGAAGAAAAGAATCCCATCACCGAGAGAAACATTTAATATTTTGTATCTGGAACTCTGCAGACTGGGATTTCTTTACGTTGTTTTGAAAAACTGGGATTGTACTCAGTATACTGTTTTCTTTACGTTAACAATGTACTGTGAACCTATTTTAAGTTAAGGATATATTGTGAACGGGCTGCCACGTTCCCACGATTTTCAGCGCTGGTCTAGCATTCCGTGTCTGCGTGGACCCAGCCAGACGCTGCAGCTACAACAGGGATAAACTCATTTATTCATAACCTTGGCTCAAGGCGTAAGTAAAACTGATTAGATCTTGACTCGGGCCCTGCAACCCCCAAAGTCCCAGGATATCAGTATTTTACTGAGCGCTGGGGGCGCAGAGCAGGGCTGCCTTTTTTTTTAAATTTTTATTGGAGTATAGTTGCTTTACAATGTTGTGTCTGTTTCTCCTGTATAGCAAAGTGAATCAGCTCTATGTATACAGGGCTGCCTATCTTTCTTGTGAGTGTTTCTGGGAGGAGAGACCATTTTCTTCTCTCCTGTGCCTGGATTTCTTTTCTCTCTCTCTGCTCACTTGTTTGCCAGGAACCCCCATGTGTGTTGTTTTAGCATTTCTGAGTGGTTCACAGCAGTAACAGGGAAGTGGGGAGGAAGGGGTAGCTTCAGCATTCAGGGAAACTACAAACCTCTCCTTCTTGAGTGTCAGCCTGCAGGCATTCCCTGGTCTGAAAAGCCACCCTCCCTCTTCCAGAACTAGTGACAGAGGAAGCGCAGCTGTCGGGTGGGTGCTGACCTGTGACTTGCCCCTCCTCCTATCTGCTACCATTTAAAACCATCTGGGGGCAGGGAGGCGATCTGCTCAGGCCTTCAACTTTGTGACCACACACATTCTCTAAAGAGATGTTTACTAGCCACACAGGGGAAAAAAATCTTCTTAGAAAAGTTGAAAAGACATTCTCGGTTTTCTCTGCTTTCCCTTGTCTGATTCTCCACAAGAAGGTATTTGTGGGCTCTGTAAACCGTGCCTCAGTCTCTCCCTTGGGCTTCAACATTTTCCTCACAACCTCCTCTTGCTACTGTGAAATGCAGTTGCCCGAGGTGCCTTTTCTTTTCTGCCCTGGTTCTCATTCCCCCCAAAATCCATGGGTCCATGTCTTAGTGAGGGAAGAAGGGAGGAAGAGATGGCTCGAGTCCTTCACGGGGTCATTCTTCTGACCCACACAGTTCCAACCTACTCAACCCTGGCCCCAGGGACGGTCGGTGTGGGGAGCCCACCTCTGGGTCACGGAGACCCAAGCTCTTGACATGACCCCCTGAGGATCGTACATACACTGGACAAAAACACGGGACCTTTTCTTTTTCAGAATTTTACCCCCCCCTTTTTTTTTCTCTTCTTCTTATTTCTTTCTCTGGGTCAATAACCCTAGGGAGAAAGAGAAAATGTAATTGTGTAAGCCTAGGGAAGGTGAGGAAAAGCAGGATGGGAACCAATATAACAGATAATAATGACCAAGAACACATCACAGTTGATAGCGCTTTACAGTTTAGAAAGCAGTTTCTTCTCCTTTACCTCAGCTCCTCACAACAGCCTGAAGAGGAAGACTGAACCGGTATCCTGGTCATCTGGATGACGACAGACTAGGAACTGCAGGCCTGCAACGGATGCTGTGGTCTGCCACTCAGATGCGCCCTCAGGAGAGAGGAACTCATTCCCCTGGCTGTGGGGAGTGGGCTGCTGCTGGCCGCAACTGAGCCCCTCACTGGGAACTGTCCTCTATGCAAGGGATCTGCCTCACCCTTCCTGGGCCCTTGCTTTGATTCTGGACAATTTTAAAGGGCCATCCCCGCTCCAGAACACCCCGTAGGATCAGCTGCATCAGAATTCAACAGATGGGGTTTTACTTTTTGCGCTGCTTTGAAAACTGCATTTCTCTTCACTCAGTAACTCACTACGGTTATCTGTCTATGACTCTATCAATGAATACACGCTTACAGTCTTTCACAGCTACAAAATATCCCATCGTATGAATATATCATTATTTATTTATCCAACCCCTTATTGTTGAATACTTAGATATTTTCCAATAATTTGCTATCAATTATAAGTACTTTGTTGAACATCTTTGTATATACATCTTCTCAAAAGGTGTCCAACTATCTTTAGGATGAATTCCTAATGGCTGGGTCAAACGACACTGCCCTCCGGAAAAGTGGTAACAATCTACATTCCCACTCCAAGTGTTGGGAAAATCCCCAAGTCCAGCTGTCTCAGTTCAAATTCATGATGATAAAATGGAAATGGACACGCAGCACTACAATCCTTCTACACATCCCTACAGTTTACTTTCCTACTTTTTAAGATAATTCTTTTAAATCTTTTCATTTCTTCTTAACCCTTCCACATCCCTTCCCTCTCTCACATGACCAGCTGTTGTCCTAGTTTCATACCTAAAAAAATAGAAGCCATCTAGGGCAACACTCTTTTTTTTTTTTTGGCCGCCCCATGCAGCTTGTGACATCTTAGTTCCACTACCAGGGATTGAACTCAGGCCCACGGCAGTGAAAGCGCAGACTCCTAACCACTGGACCTCCAGGGAATTTCCAAGGGCAACACTCTTATCTGTCTACCCCCAATCAATACACACACACACACACACACACACACCTTCCTCCTTCACCGTGGCAAAGAGTCTAGCAATGGTCAACACTTTCCTTGAACCACATTGGCCCAACTACTCAAGGACTTTTCTGCAATGTTCTCTTTCTCTCCCACATCCTCATCATCGTCTCTTTCTTTCTCTCTCCTGGATCATTCTCAAGAGCATAAAAAAATCTGTCAACTCCCATCTTAAAATACAAACAAATCAAAAGTAACAAAATGAAAGAAAACCCTCTCTTGAGCCCATGTTTCCTCCAGCCTTCACTCCATTCTCTCGGGTTCCCTTCCCAGCAAAACTTCTTGAACGAGTGCCTACACTCCCTGCCTCCAATTCCTCATTGCCATCCACTCGCTACCCACGCCCAGTGAGTCCCCACCACTCACCCGCACTCTTCTTGTCTAGATCACTGGTTCCTTTCATGTTGCCAAATCTAATGGACACATCTTGGTTCTCACTTAATTGACTCTCAGTGGCAGCAGCATTGTCTACAACTGACCACTCTTTCCTGAAACCCTCCCTGCTCTTCCCTTTTAACTTACAGGCTCCTCCTACCCAGACTATTTTCCTGGCTCCTCCCACTTCACGTGAATACTGAAGGTTGGAGCACCCCAGGGCTCAGTCCTTGGCCCTCTAAGCCCATCCCCTCTTCTCCTTCTCAGTACCTGGCACATAAAATCAATACCAAAACTTGACAAAGACAACCCAGAAAGAAAAATAGATACAGATCAATGTCGTATCTTTCATCCACTCATTCAATACATACTTACTGAACAACTACTATTTGCCAGGCAGTGCGAGAAGAGAATGGTGAATGAGATAGACAAGCTCTCTGTTCTCAAGAGACTTAAAATCCCATGGCAGGTATGTTGGGTTGGCCAAAAAGTTCGTTAAGATGTTACAGAAAAACCGACAGAACTTTTTGGCCAACCAATAGATATAACCAAGAGACAAGATAAGCAGATTGAGATGGATGCAAGCTAGAACACAGAGAGGATTATAGGCTTGAGAGCAATGGGGTGGGGATGGGGCACTGCTCTAGAGAGGAGGGTCAAGGAATGATGCTCTAAGACAACATATCTGATGAAGCCAGCCGTGCCAAGATCGGGGAAGAATTTTCCAGGCAGAAAAGAACAGCAAGCCCAGAAAGTCCAAGGCAAGAGAGAACTCTGACATTTGAGGCACTGCAAGGGGACCACAGAGTGGCTGGAGAGCAGTGCGTGAAGAAAGGTAGGAAGGGTCTAGATGGGGTAGGCCACAGTTAGGGGGTGGAGATGTATTGTGAATTCGTTGGGAATGTGTTAACGAGTTTCAAGCAGCATGCTTAGAACTTAATGTTTAAAAATTCTCTTGAGCTAACCTGTGGAAATTGAGTTTTATGGGAATTCAAATGACTAGTTGGAAAATGATCTCTTTTTTTTAACTGATGAAACTCCAATAATACAATGATGTATTCATTTTTTAAAAAAGAGCCATCTCAAAGGTACATACCATAAAGTGCAAAAGTCCCACACTCAAGGCAGATGTGAGTTCATTGTCAAGGTTCTTCAACGGGTTATTGCACGCAAAGCCCTCTTTTGTTTTTTTTAAACATTTAGCTTTATCAGAGGTTTTTGTGTGTGTGTGTGTGTGTGCCTCTGCAAAAAAAATTTGGCATGGATTCTAAACAAACACACGAAAGATTCTCTAATCTCCTTTGATTCATAAATGAGCTATTTCCTTACTTAAGCACAATTAGGAATGGCTTATTTTCTCAACTTTAAGTGAGATTCTGAAATATATCACGTGACTCAGAGGATAAATGGAAATTAGAAGCTGTCGCTGCTCTTTCTAGGTTATGAATCCTACCATCCTGCTTCTCCTCTACAATCTGCTGCAACTACTGTCTGAAATCTAAGACCACTGCCATGAATTAACTTATAATTCTTCGTGAACAGGAGATTACCCAACTCCGTACTGTAGGTGATTATTTACGTCAGGCATGTGGTGATCAGCTGGGAAATCCTTCGTGTATTTAAGATCCTCCTCTCAGAACTTGTGGATATCCGTGTAACACTGCCTTCAGGATAAAAGGAAGATGGGGCCGGGGGTTGCTCTGGAGTTGTTTTCAGATATCTTAACACACAGTTGTACCAAATATGTAGAAGGATATCACGTATACACACGCATAGATTATTGCCCCCCCAAACAACCACAGGTGAGGAACGTTTTTCCTGTACACACACTTATTCTACTGGATTTCTGGCTTCATCTCTCCCTCCCCTTCAGATTTTGTGGGGCTGTTTTGACTCAAGAATGTTCTAGGCTAATTATTCAGAGGATTTAAGCCTTTTGGGCACTGGGGCTGTGGTTGGTGCTATTTTGCCTCTAAGATAAACGTTCTCCCCCATTTCACGATGCTCGAGACCTTTAAGGAGAGGTTTTAAATACAAAGAAGTGTCTCCAGGGCCCTGGGGACTCAGGGAAGGCTCTGCTTCTCCCTGTATCACAGACACCCTGCAAGTCGTGGAATTCTGCAACCAAAGCCAACTTCGCCTAGTGTTGATAAACAGACACTTATCTCATGGCATCTTCAGAGCAGAGGTGAAGCGACACCTACACCTGCGCACTCGGTGTCACAATCATTGCAGAAATTGTTGGGGGAGATTATGAGGTCAGATATTGCATAGCTCCCCTGCATTCCTGGTTCTTTCCTCTCCTTCCCCCATGCCCTTCCTGGGCTCGAAATTCAGAAAGGAAAACAACCAGCTGCCTTTTCCCCAAGGTTGTTCTTCTTACACTTTCATTTTTCTGCTCTGGTCTATGGACCTAAACGCTGGAGACACTTTCTTCCCCCACCTACCAGCTTCCAACGCCACTACCTTCCTCACTCCCCTGCTTATCTTTGAGAGTCAACTTTGCCATGTTCGTGATCATTTCTGAGATGTCTTAGCAAAAAGTAAAACTGCCCCCCAACCCTTCCTTTTTCTCTAAGCCGGCATTCCAGCCAGGCTGGGAGGGGAAAGGTCAGCGTTTAGCTGCCTCTCCCCTCTGGGACTTGAGATTTTATTCATTTCCTCTCCTTTTCAGGAATGCTGCTCCCCCATTGCACTTGTGGCAGCAAACAGGTTTTATCTGCTTCATTTCTCCGGCATTTATTTAACTTGTCTCAGCCTTCTCTGTCTTCTCACTCTGTGAGACTGTTTTGTAAATTTGCATTTGTCATGCTTATCCCAATTATTAAAGAAAAAGGACATTAACTACCATCCAGTGAATTCCCAACCTAGTGCCCTCCTGGTCACCAGAAATGACCTCTTCTCCTCCTTTGGCTTTTAGCGAGCTGGGGGCTACTACATGCAGCAACCATGCAGATTCTTCTCCAGGCATCTTTGGGGAGATAATTCACATACTTTAAGAAAAAGGCACCTCCGAGGACACAGTTATCTTAGCCCTTGGTTCTTTCAGTAGCTATAATATTTTTAGCAAGATGATCAGCTTTGCAATGAACTTGATCCTTTTCTGAAGACATTGCTCAAAATGTGCAGCGTCCTCAATGCCATCTTCCACGGGAGGGCCACAACCAAAGGTGGCCTTCACAACCTGTTTTCTTGTGGGGTTTTTTGGGCCACTCTTCATGACAAATTTTTTGTGTTTGATTTTGTCGTAAAAGCTTTGCTGAATCTAAAATCACCTTTGCGATAACATAGCTCTTCCTTGTCTCTCTACCACTGTGTTTAAAAGCACTGCACCTAAACTTTTCTTAATTAGGCTAACTTTTCGAATCCTCATTCATTTTAAAATGAGAATCAGGGGCTTCGCTGGTGGCGCAGTGGTTGAGAATCCTCCTGCCGATGCAGGGGACATGGGTTCGAGCCCTGGTCTGGGAGGATCCCACATGCCGCAGAGCAACTGGGCCCGTGAGCCGCAACTACTGAGCCTGCGCGTCTGGAGCCTGTGCTCCGCAACGAGAGGCCGCGATAGTGAGAGGCCCGCGCACCGCGATGAACAGTGGCTCCCGCTTGCCACAACTAGAGAAAGCCCTCGCACAGAAACGAAGACCCAACACAGCCAAAAATAAATAAATAAAATTAAAAAAAAAATAAAATGAGAATCAGGTTTTCTGCAAAATCTCTACTTAGTAAAAACCAAGGAGTTTACTTTAAATTAGAATTTACATTCAGTAAGAAAAGACAAACCCACACAGAACGTGATGCCTCCAAACAGGACTTTACACCAAAGGCAACAAAAGCAAAGGCGCGTTCAAGGGTCCACCGTGGAGAAAGAGGAGGGCAGATGGAGATGTTCAAAAGAAAGTTACCAAGTACTGGAAGAAAGCGGAGTCTGGGCAACTACAACTAGAGAGCAATTGTTTTTAAGGTTTCAGAAAAGCTCCCAAGTAATTTTGAGCTGGGTGCTATTTATAAAACACGGTGACAGGAGGGTCACCCGGTTGGTTCTAAGCCTGGCTAAGGAGAAGGGAGTATGCAGCCCCTCTTAGCAAGTGAGGCGAGATCAACGTTGCCCACCACCAAAAAGCCCGCCTTCTCCTGGGACCCCCAAGCCTTCCCCGAGCCCTCGGCTTCCCTCTGATCATTAGCCTAACTGGGCTTCCTTGGGGGATGGGGATCTGCGCGGCTCAGTTCTGGCTGTGAACTAACCCAAGGAGCTTCTTATCCCATTATGATGAAATCCACAGGCTTCCACAATTTAATTCCTCTATGACCACTGAATGTATACCAGGTGCTGGGGGAGGGGAGGAGGAGAGCGGGGAGACTGGGCTGTACACGTGACCAAGTCCCCACTTTCCAGGTCCTGAGGGTCTAGCTAAGCAGAAATATGTTGGATATGAAAACAAAAATAACACCAGATAGAATAAAGTCAATGGAATAATAGTGCAAATTGCTCAAGGGATCCAGAGGGGAAAAGAATTCGCTCCATGTTGGGGAGAGGAGGAAAAAGGGAAGGAGAATTTTCACAGCAGGGAAAGGGAGAGGGCATTTTTGGCTGAGAGAACAGCCTTGAAATGGAGTCCGTATTTAGAGATCACTTTGTAATAGCCTGGCATGGCTGTGGGGGGAATTCGATAATTCTATGGGGGGGGGTGAGACAGACACAGAACCCCCACAATAAATTCTTTGGGGGGGGGGGTGGAAGGCAGTGAGTATCCTCCATGGGACGTAGGCAAATAAAAGTTTTGTGTTTTTTTTTTTAATTTAAAAGAATATTTGCCTGGCTAAGGAAATCTTTGGAATTAGAGAAGGGAATCTATAGATAATGATAATAATAACAGTAATAGTTATAATACTAATAATGGCGGTGATCTGGTCCAACTGGAAGCGATTTAGGACACACACAGTCTTTTAGAGCGGAAGGAACTTTGAAGCCCATCTCCTCTAACCCACTTATTTTAAAAACAGATGAGGAAATTGATGCCCAGAGAAAAGTCCCTTGTCTCAAATCCACAGCTAGTTAGGGGCAAAGCAGGGTTGGAGCACAGATCTTTCTTCCTAAACCAGATCACTTTCCAGTCAAATGTGTCAATCTGCACCCTCCCAGCTATTTTTCAGAGAAGAAAAAGCAGTGAAGCAGGGGTTGGAGTTTAAGAGGGCTGCCTGAAGTCCCACAGCCACTGGCGGCTCAGATGGATCTCAAACCAAGGACATTAGAGTCATCAAGCCAACACTCTCCTGTAAACATTCTTACTAAAATTAAACCCATTCACGAGGATGAAGCACAAGACAGAAGAGTGAGTGTGGTGATTAAAGCCCAAGAAGGCACGTTTCTCCAATCACGACCTGGGTGAGAAAGACGGGGGCTGCGGGAGTCTGCTTTGCCTCATCTGCCATCCGGCTCCACCACGCACAAGCCAAGCTGCAGGGAGCTCTCTTTCTCCACCAAAGGCTTAGCTGCAATATGGTTTAAATTAGACATTTCTTGCCTGAGTAGAACAAATCACTTAGGTTATACGCTGACAAAAAAGGAACAGTCTGCATGCTTGGAAAGCTTAGGGGGAATTAAATTACGTGCTGTCACTTCAGAGCTGTTCCTCTGTCCTCTCCACCACCACCTCTCAAGTGCCTGCAGGAGTCCTGGAGCCTTGCGTGCAAGCTGAGCCGTAACCCAGGGGCTTAACATAAACTCCTGGCTCTCAGGTCATTGGGAAATAACAGGTATATCCGGTTGGGTCTTTTGTGCTTGTCTGCACGCAAATTAAAAGCTCGTGCAAAGCTGAACTCCTCGGAGCCGCTGGTTAGGGAGAAGGTATGATGCCCTGGAAGAGAATTCTCACACAATCTCCGTGTTTACTTTTTCAGGGATGAGGGTGGAGGGCTGAGCTTCTTATGGGAAGTTCGCACCGCTGGGCAGCTGAGCTCAGAAGGGGCGGGATGTGGAGGTGGCCTTGTGCCAGATGATCTGCTGGGAGCAGGGTTCTGCGGGACTCCAGGTCGGAGCTTTGAAGGGGTGCAGCTCTCGTAGACCTTCAGGGAGGGGAGTAGAGGTGGGCACGCCAATGCCTGCACTTCCTGGCTGGTGGCAACAATGGCAAGAAGGCTTGCGGGGGCAGAGTTGGACGGGGAGGGGCATGGGATGGGGCCTGAAACTAAGGGGACGGGCTGTGCACCAAGAGCTGTCACCCCCCCCACCTCCCTCACTCTTTTTTTTTTTTTTTTTTTTTTTTTTTTGCGGTACGCGGGCCTCTCACTGCCGTGGCCTCTCCCGTTGCGGAGCACAGGCTCCGGACGCGCAGGCCCAGCGGCCATGGCTCACGGGCCCAGCCGCTCCGCAGCATGTGGGATCTTCCCAGACCAGGGCACGAACCCGCGTCCCCTGCATCAGCAGGCGGACTCTCAACCACTGCGCCACCAGGGACGCCCTCCCTCACTCTTTTGAAGACCCCACTACAATTCAGCTTTGAACCCTCCAGAAGGCTGGTTGGAGTGGGAAAGGGTGTCCACTCTGTCCCCATGCTTCCTCTAATGGCAAGCAGTAATGTTCACGTCTCCTGCCCTTAGGATTTTGCTTACCTAGTCTGACTGGGAAGGAGCAGAGTGTTTCTGGAATCTGGTAGACCTGAATTCAAATTTTAGCTCAGCTACCACAGGAGCCGTGTGACCCTGGTTGATAATGCCAACTCCTCCTGTCTTGCTTTGTCTGCAGAAAAGGGATTCTGGTTAATAGTTCCCTTAAAGGTTTGGTTGGGAGGGATTCACGAAATGATTCATGTCAAGTGCTTGGCACGCCGCCTGGCTCAAAGTGTTCAATAAACGGTAGTTCTTCCATTATTAGTTGTATATTATTACTGTCACGCTTGTTATTATTGGCAGAGCTGCTAACAAAAGAGCTGCTGCAATTTCAGGATGTGGCTCAGATGCCCTCCTGGCCCTACGCCTGAGCAGGATCTCTCCAACCTCTTCCCCTGAGCCACGCTCTCCCAGCTACTGACTCAGATGCCGCCTGGGCTCCAGGCAGCAGAGGTGTGGGTACCACTCTGCTTGCCTCTTCTTCCCGGCCCTGCGTGGGGGTTAAGGTGCATCATCCCCACCAGACCCACCATCTGGGGGTGGTACCTCTGTGATAGTGCAGCAGGGTTGCAGCACTGTTTGAATGTGCCCACATGTGTCTAAGGGGCTTTGCTCTTAAAATCAGTCGCTGGGGCATGACTGCCTCTGAAATCTACCCTCACTCCCACCAACTTCCTACATCAAGACCATAGCTCTTTAAATGCTTCTGGATGGATCTGTCTCAAAAAATAGTTCTCAAAATGTGGTCCAGGGACTTCTTGGGAGGGTGGGTTGTCCCTGAGACCCTCTCAGGAAATCCACAAGGTTAAAACCATGGTCATAAGATATTCTTTGCCTTTCTCCCTGTTCTACTCTCACAAGTTTACCAGGGGTCTCACAGTAAGAGATTAACAAGAATAATTAATAATGAAAATAGAAGAATTATAACAATATACTGTAATGAAAGTTATGTGAATGTGAAAAAAAAAAAACAAACCCAAGTCTACCAGCGGTCTTTCAGGGGCTACATGACATTTGATATCACTACAGATTGGATGCAGCATCGGATATGAGTATTCATGTGTCTTCTGTTAAATCAGAAATTAAAGAGATTTGTAAAAATGTAAAACAATGCCACTCCTACTAAATATTTTTCGTTCTGGAAAATTTAGATATTTTTCAATATGCTGTTTCTGTTAACATGTATTAGGTTTATTATTTTTTAATGAATAAATATTTAAAACTTTGTTCCATTTTCATTTCTAAAACTGTAAATACTGTTAGATATAACTTAGACTAAGCAATAGCTCTTTGGGTTCTGTAATAATTTTTAAGAGTATAAAGAGGTCCTGAAAACAAAACATTTGAGAAGCACTGAGCTAAGACTTTGGCACTGGGCCTGTGAAGTCATCTCTTTGCTCACTTACTTCTAAATAAAACTATCATTTCTGGGAGTTTGGAATAGCGTGAATTTTATAGTAAGTTCAATATAATGCATTTGAATGTAGCAGATCTAGTCATGGAGCCCATGTGGAGGCTGCATTCCAGTTCTCTGCATGTCCCAGCCACTGTTTTAAAGGAAATTTTTCGAAACCCTCCCAAGACTGGATTGTAAATTACAGAGATTGAACCGTGCAGGACAGATACCAGAGGTACTCTCCACCGGGAGGGGAGAGGGCAGGTTTGAATCGCATCTCGCACTGAAACCAAGATGGCTTTGCCTGTTGGGGTCCTGGCCTCCTGGGGGAGTGGGGGAGAGGGGGAGAGGCTTGGGATCACCCAGGTCCTTAACAGGCATGCTAGTGCCAGAGAAGAGTACACTTAGTGTAGAGTTACAAGGGAGGGGCTTCTGTATAATTCATGACATAGGCAATCAGTTAAGGAGTGTTTACCGCTGTGGTCTGGATAGGCTTTGGAACCTGCTGACGTGGGTTCAAATCTTGACCCCTTCACTTGCAACCCGTGAGACTTTTGGCAAATAGTTCCTTGTCCCTGAACCTTAATCCTCTTAGACATAAGGTAGGCTAACAATAGCTATACTTTCAGGATGATCAGAAGTAAATGAAGTAGTAGATGTAAAGCCCAGAACACAGTGCATGGCACTTGGAGGGAATATTAACTCCTTTCCTCTCTCTGTCCCAACTTGCTTTGTGGTGTTCGGTGCTTTAAGAGGGTAGAGGAGTATGGGCCACGGGCCCAGCCTTATGACTGTAACATCCGAGGGAAGGATCGTCCTCCCGTTTCGCTGGGCATGGTGCTCTGCACGTGGCACTCAAAATCGTTGGAGTGGTTATTCCTTGTTAAATGAAATGATACGTGTAACCTGACTTTCACCTCTCTGATCTGCCTCAGGGAGCCTCAGGTATCGTACTCAGAGCCCAGCAGTAGGAGAGCACAGAAACGAGGATTCCCGCTAGTCCAGAGCTTCTCACGTGTTCTTGCTGGGGAAGTAGATTTCCATTTTACCCCAGAGCCCCAGCTATTCCACTGGGTAACCGGCAACCTGGGAGCTTAGGTGACTGCATCAGATGCTCCCTGAAACGGCGGACAGAGAGCAAGGGGCCTGGTAAGAGGCCCCAGCGCGTGCTGCCACAGCTCAGAACCTGATAAGCCCCTTTCTTCTTAATCAAATCCTTTCTTCTGCAATCAAACCGTTAAAATAAATAAGCCACCAGGGACTGAGCACAGCGTGTAAAGGAAATAGGAACGTTAGTCACCTCCAAAAGTACACACGGTTGAATTTGACTTTCCACAGTGGATAGGGGAGCATTTCCTCCCCGGCAGTTAAGAAAGAAGAGCTGAGAGGCTCCTTGCCCTGCCTTTTGGTCCAGGCTCCCCACATGGCCTGAGCTTCTTCGGTTATTAGATGTTCTGGATGCCCCTGGTCTGACCCACAGTCCACTTTCACTCAGACTTGTACTGGGAGGAAAGAAGGCGGTATCTTCTGGGAAGCGAGGGAGCATTTCTTCATTTGTAAGAATCCCCGGGAGGTCCTCCCACAACAGCACTCCCTTGGGTCCTCTCCCATTTGCACTCTGTAGAGTGGCGTTTTCTCAACTCTCCTTGGCAGGGAGTTGCTTGAGTGCTGTCCCGGAGCCTCATTCCTGCAGGAGGGACTGGCCCAGAGCCTGGCTTGGAGGAAGGAACCCGGCATGGCCTCACTCAGGATCTTTTGGGAACATGGCATCTTCCTGCCTAAAGAGCTGCCTCTGTACTGAGGGTCCTAAAGTGGAGCCTGTCCAGGTGAGGTGAAATGAGGTGAAGAAGAAGTACTGTGTGCCTGCCCTCTGGGAGCTGGAGGAAACGCACACTGGCTGTTGGTGCTGAGGTCGACCTTTTAAAGGCAGTAGCAAATGGCGTCCCCCAGAGTAATGATCATAGCTGACACTGTCTGAGCCCCTCCCGGGTGCCAGGCACTGTTCTGAAATCCTTACAGGCATTAGCTCCTTTAATCCTCAGATAGGTCCCAGTATGGTCTCCATCTTACCTAAGTGCAAACTGGACCCAGAGATTTGCAGCGCTGGAGTCACTCAGTTATGGGTGGTAGAGGCACATTCGGACCCTGACAGGCTCTGGAGGGACGTTACTAACCACTCAAGTGCTGCCTCAGAAAGACAACGAGGAGGTGGCTCATGTCACCTTAGGCTTCCGGGAGCTGGCAGGTGGGTGACGGTGCGTCAGCCCAGGAGCCTCACACGGAACCAAGCAAACTATGTTTATTCCTGTGAGGTCCAAGTCCTTGTGTGACTCTAAACGTATTGGACAGGAATAAGGGGGCAATGGTAGTACTGGACCTAGTAGTACCAGTAGTACCAATAATAATAATGGCTAACATTTTTCTTTTAACTTTTCATTTTATATTGGAGGACAGCCGATTAACAATGTTGTGCTAGTTTCAGGTGCACAGCAAAGGGACTCAGCCATACGTACACATGTCTCCAATATAACGGCTAACTTCTATTGAGAGCTCAACCTTTGCAGTCAACTATGCTGATCGGTATCCTCACGATATCTCATTTAATTCTCACAACGACCCTCTGTAGCCTTATCCCTCTTGTACAAATGGGGAAACTTGGGCTAAGAGTTAACTCACACGGCCAAGGTCACTGCTGATAAGTCAGAGAGCTGGGCCTCACACCCAGGAGTACCTGGCTCCAGAAGCCAAACTCCTAATGATGTGTTACGCTGGCTCTACTGCTTTTAATCTCCTCTGGAGGATTAGACAAGCCCAGAAGGCATCTGGGCCTGGGCCCAGGGGCCTGTAAAGGACTGTCATCCTCTCAGAGAGGATATCAAGGCAGGCTGAGGTCACTCTCCCACCCTGGCTTCTGTGATGTCTTCCACAAGGATGTGAGAATCCGGAATGTTTCCCCCTAATGTCTTACTGGCTTTAATCTGGGGATTTCCCTCATCGGTCAAGAGGAGGAGACGATCTGAATACAAGCATACATATTCTTTAAAGTAAGGTACAGGTCTGAAAGACAAGTAATATTTTTGTTTTGTTTTCATTCTCCATTTGCAAAGCTAAATTACAGCAACAGTTCTTTGTAGAAGGAAAAGTATTGTGGCACATGCTCCTTGGTACAAAACCCCAGGTTCAAGATGCAAACTGGCCACCTTCTTGGAAGGCAATGGGGTGGTCGCAAGACACTTTAAAATGCACATCCCCTTGGTTCAAGCATCTCCACTGGGGAAACACTTGCAAATGTATAGAGAATTGCACGGAAAAGTGAAGTCACTGCAAAGGAGTCTACAATAAGTTGGAAACAACACAAACGACCATCGAAGAGAAATGGTTAAATAAATTATGTTACAGTCATATTACGCAGTAGTTTAAAAGCATGCAGTAGATCTATACCTTCTGTTGAGGTCACCAAGACAATTGTTAAGTTGAAAAAAAAATCACTGAACAGTAATTTTGGTATGATCTCACTTATATTAAAAATACATACATATGTACAAACATATGCTATACATAAGTGGAAGACACATGGTTCCTGTGGCTACATCTGAGAAGGGGTGGGAGTATGGGCTTTCCTATTTTTCTATATGTTCTTATATGCTGATTGAATCTTTTGCAACAAGAGTCTGTTTATATACTATATGTGTGTGTTTTAAGAATTTACAAAAGAGAAAAATAATATATACAAATTGTATAATATATAACATTATATATTAAATATTTAAATATATGTAATACTGTGGATGTATAATAATGTGGATATATAATATAAAGCATAGTCCAAAGATTTTTGGCCTAGAAGTAGTCCAGAGGCCAGTGGTCACCTGGCCACTAGACTTGCTTTCCCCATATTGTTTTCCTGCTCCTGTTCTGGTCTCTGGCCCTCAGAGCCCATGACAGTATCAACATGGCCTCCATGGGCTGGAAGCTTCAACATATGTTTAATAGGAATAAATGTAAAATCTCATATTTAGTTTTTTTAAATCAATTGCATACGTGCAATTAAAGACTCAGAATGGTTTTAAGTCTTAAAAGATAAAGACTTTAGTTCATCACAAGTTTGGTACAACAGTGGATGCAGATACCTTAAAATAGTCCCCAAACTTAGTCTGCATTAAAAGAAACACTGTGGCAAGTAACCACATCTCTCTGGGCTGGACAGGATGTCACCTTTGGGGTATTGTGTTTAGTTTCAGGTACAC